AGAAAAGAGTCAGAATTCTGAGATTAAAGTCAATCTTTAAAATCAGTTAACTTTTTTTTTTTTTTCAGTGGCCCTAATCCTCTTCCGTAGTTTTGTTAATGAACTGTAGTACAAAGATAATTAAACCCTATCATGTTTATATGTTGCTTTAGTTATGACTTTAGGTGACCAGCCCTTTTAGCTGGTTTTACCACCCTGTTATAAGTCAGAGTGCCACTAGATGGTGCTGTGGACCACTTTAAAATTGCTCTCCTGGTTTGCTGATTTTTACATAACAGCAGATTAAAAACAATCATTTTGTAAGCTTAGCACATTGGGCTTTTTTTTTAAGGTTCACTCAGGCTTAATCTCCGACAGTTGGGAGGAGTATTTTCAGATTTAATGTTTGTTGTCAAATAATAATGCAAGCTGCGTGCCAGATGAAACTGTGCTCACACATTTAGAGCTCATCTCAACCGCATCCGCTCAGCTGGACTCCCTGCACTTTTCCATTAGGTCTAATCTCTGCTCTCAGCACTGTGGTGGCTTTTTATGAGTGTAAGCGATCCTTTAGAAGTGGAGAGAGCAAAAACTTAATAACATTATACTTTTTTATTTGTTTATGATTGTCCCCCCCTCCTGACAACACAGGCATTTTCATTATATACCTACTCCACCAGCTTATTTTAATCTTTTTCTTTATTTTTGATGTGCTTTTTTTGTTCATACTTCAGGAGCTGTCATAGGGTTCATGCTGGGCGTGATCCAAATCCCTGTGAAAGACTGTGATGATCTGTACCGGAAGCTGGGTTCAGACGTTTTCAAGCAGAACGTGATTTTAGGGACGGTGAAGATGGGCTGGAGCCATGCTTTCTACGACAGCGAAGCCTGGGAGAACATCCTCAAGTCAGTTTGAATGTTTTGTTCATGAATAAGTTATTATTTCTAAAGGTATAAGGGAGGATTTTCGTGAATTTTTGAAAAGACCCGCCTTCTTCTCTTAAAAAAAAAAAATTCACACACACAACCTGTACCTGCTCCCGAGAGGGAACGCCTGTTAAACACGTGTGAGAGCGTGCACGAGCCCATTTCTACTCGTGCACACTCTCTTTCAAAGTTGCTGTTTCCATCGCTCATGCAAGCTTACTTTTTCCAAAAGATTTTGAATTTTTCCACTATGTCAGACTCACCACCGGTAAGTGAAAATGGGACGAGCACGTAGCACAGCCTTACATTAACATATAACCAGAATGACTGACAATTAGGATGACTACTTATTTTGATGATACACCTGGAAAAAGAACATCCTCCAATTTACCTTTAAGACTATGTGGTTTAAATGGCACTTTTTTTCTATTCACTACCAGTAAACAATGTGTTATTTTAGAATGACAACAAACATATAATAATATAGTAAGATACTACTTTCTCTTAGTGACTAAGCTAATAAAAATATATAGAAACTATTCTTAAGACTGAGCCCAAAAAAATCTCATCTTTAATGTAAGAAAAATTACACTAGATCTCTTTCAAAATGTGGAGAAAAAATGCAACGCTGTACAAAATGCTCCAGGTCTCTACTATCCCTTATATTTCACACTCAAGGAGCCAAAATATTTCAAAGGGGTCTCGAGAAGAAATTCTCCAGGCTTTAAGAAGTTTTTCAAAGATTTTCTTTGAGCATGGGAAACTTTTGGAGGCATTTCCAGCCTGTATTCTCAGACTAATTTCAAAGGAATGGTGCAAGAATACCATTTAATGCATTTCAATCTCTTCTCTAATGCAATGGTTCACAATTTGTGGGGCTCAAAAGGAGCAACAAACAAGTCTTGATCTTTATAATAAAATTAATCCACATTAGTTTATATTTTTTTAGCAATAGCATTATGGACGCTGACAGGTAAAGTGGATAATGTGGCCCATCTAGAGACGAGTGCTGCAAATTAGCTGTTGCTATTGTACTATGATGCAAACATGGGACTGCTGTTTTGTTCAGATTGTCTATGTCGATATGTGTATGTCCCTATAGAATAAACTTGAATAATTAATAATAATAATAATAATCCCTTTTTGGACGTCTTTTAGCATGTGGAATGCTGAAGTTCTGGTAAGGTAACACTAACATTGTGTTATAGTATATTTGGCTGCTGTGAGTTGATGTTAAATCATGGACATGCCAAAAAGAGCAACAATAAACATATTCTATCCATGAAGGTTTCCCGTCTTTAACAGATCAGGATTGTTTCAAAACGAAAGAGAAGCTACAACCACTAGCGCATCAATGCCACCACCAGGGTTTTAGCGGCAGGAGGAAGAAGAAAGTGATTAATGACTTTTCCTGGTCGGCTGCAATGTTCTGTGCGTTTTTCAATTAAAAGTACCGGTATATGCAGCGTTATTTGCGTGTTACCGACACATACGTCTATTTAAATGTGTTACAGGTAGTTTGAAATAAAAAAGCATTCATAATATGTACCGTATTTGTTTGTTTTATTATACGGATTAAATCAAACGTTAAAAAAAATGCTCACGTGTAATATCTTTATTTGTAAATATCTCATACAACGTGGGAAACCTGCGGCTTAAAATGCGGCGTGGCTTATAAAAGTATAAAATTTCTTTCTAAAATTAGAGCGTGCGGTTTGTAATCAGGTGCGCTCTTTAGTCCGGAATTTACGGTAATTATTATATCCTCAACCGATGGAACATTTTCATTTGATGACAGTTTAGAGTTTTTCGAGCGTGAATGGATTGTTTCATTCAGATGGACTTGCTGCTGTGCTTTGGTTTGACCTGCTTCACCTGAATGAGCTCCAGATATTTTCCTGTAGAGCCGTTTTTCTATAAGAGCAGAGTTTATGATCTTAACTGTGGAAAGTGAAGCCTGTAGGGACTGACGGCTCCTGTGACTTCTCATAGGATTTGTTGATGCAGAGTTTGGGTGATTATAGTAACCGCTTTCACCATTTCTAGAGGCCTGAAGCTTATTTTTCTTAAACTCTTTCCAGTCTGACAGATATGTATAACAAACTGCTGCAGATCATTTAATTCTTATTTATTTTGATATACTGTATATACAGTGCTTGCTTGTTTATTCTTAATGCACCTTTTTCCTCCTTGTTTGCACCTTCTTTAATTACTATGCCAATATGTGACCAGTGAATTTCTCCGCTGTGAGATCAATAAAGCTCATCTAATCTAATCTAATCACAGCATTGTTCTTTTATGAGGTCTTTGGTCTATTTCATGTGGCCAAACAGGTCTTTTTTTCATTAGCCTGCTTTAATTAAATACTGGTTTGAATACCTTCGTTCTCTTAAAAGAAAGCTGCATTTCACTGATTTATTTAATGCTGGGAAAAAAGGGTCAAACTAAAAAATGATAAGATGAGAATGCTGTATGAAACTAAACTAAATATTAATAAAATGTGATGTTGCTCTCCTTTGCAGGGAGAAAGTGGGCTCCCACCTCTTAGTGGAGACTTCAAGAAACCCTGAATGCCCCAAGGTGAGCTTTAGATCTTTTTTTTTCCTCTCTTGTTTTATCTTTCCTATTTTTATCAGTTTTATTTTTATATAAATGTGTTTGTTATGTTCTCCACCTGTAGGTGGCAGCTGTGAGCACCATAGTGAACCAGGGCCTTCCTCTGAAAGCACACATCTTCAGGAACTACAACCTTCTGCCCGGGGTGCGCTCTCACTACCTGGGCGGCTGCCAGCACCAGCTGTGGCAGGCCATCCGGGCCACGTCAGCTGCTCCGGGGTACTTCCAGGAGTTCAAACTGGGAAATGATCTCCACCAGGTCAGTCGCTAAGAAAATAGTTGGGATACCTTGTAGGTTTTTTTTTTAACAAAAATGCATGATGGTGCAGTTATATCTATAATGATAGATCTGCATATTTACATCAAACTAAGTTTTATCACCTTCGCATTTGAGACGTTTTCTCCTTTAATTTGCTCCACATTAATTCAGCAAGCATACATTTAGTGATCCCAGACAGTTGATGCCTCTTCTGTTGTAATTGGAAAAAAAGTCCACATTAGCTGTTATTTTTTATGCAAAACATATAATTACTAAAACTGTTTAGAATATGCATGCATTTCTACACAAACACCCCTTCCCCTGCTATGCAGAATGTACTGTGTCGGATGACCCCTTCTTGGTTTCTTCCATGCGTTGTCCCTATGAAGGCTTAATTTTAGCAGTCCTTTTTTTCACATTCAGCCCAATATACAGTATTTTTACTCAGTGTGGCAATGCAACAGTAGGCCTCTGCTTCACGCTGCAGAGTTTATTGTTGGGCTGCGGAATTAAAATGCTTTGTGCATTCACAGCTGAAGAAAATGAAGGATTTCAAGCAGCCTAATGAGAAAAATCCCCACACAATAAGCAGGAAGCAGGGACCCTGTCCTTTCTGACTGTTTATTTCCAGCCAGCTGCATTTGAACTGGAGACTGGAGCTTCTAAGTCATTGAGAGGAACACTTCCATCCATCAGCAATAAAGTGGAATACATTAGTCATCAAAAAACCTTGCAAAGCACCTTTCTACTTTAGCCTTTTACTGATCAATATTCACTACTACCTTACTCTGGCAGAGAACAGGGATGACATTTGTAAAACACCAGAGGAGACATTAAAAAGTAGCACTTATGTTGTTCAAAATGATGAAATGCACATGGAGGCAAATCACTGTTTTTAACTCCTCTTCATCCAACTGTCATCAACGATATAGATGTAATCTATGCATCAAATGCTATATTCAGCTTCTGAAAGCTTTGACTCTAATTGGAGGCCGTGTTGGCTGTATATGTGAAGTGGGAGATGCAGGGGGAGAAAATGAAAGAGATTCATTGATGAAAACCCACCTATAGTGGGAGATTTCCACAGCATGCCATCTTGCAGGTCTTCGTCTACTTACAGATGCATAATTTATCCTGACTGCTGCGTCCCCACTTGTACACCAGCAATTGCCTGCTGCATCTGCTTGGTTGGGAGGAAGAGACAGACTGTCTAATTATGGAATCGCATTTGCTAACTCTTTTGGTTTACAGAAGCCAAGAAACCACTTTGTGAGAGAGTGAAGCAACATCACTGCTTTACATTTGGAGCCACATATAGATTAGTTCATTCGTTAACAGTCACAGACAAACAACAATCCTGTGAAGAAAATGTTGAACTACTGGATTGTTTTTTGGCCTCTATTTTTTTAATAAGGCATTTGCTGCTTTAGTGAAATATGCTGATGAAGGTTCTCAGTCATCCAGGTCACCCGCTCCAGCCAGGTCACCGTGAACAATACCTCCTTAACGACCGACCCCTAGAAATCATAGACAGGTTCAGATATTACAGGCTAACGATGGAACTAAACGACCCATTCAACGGTTACCATTGCATGTTTCCAAGCTATACAAGGCCTTGTCCATATAAGACTCAAACTCACTGCGGATCCAGACATTTGAATTGAGAAAGCTTCCTGGAGAGGTGGCGAAACATCTTCAAATCTTGAAAACCAAGTGAATTTTTTTGAATTTTTACGGAATGCTTTAGTGAAGTTTTATACCTTTTTGTTAATGTAACTCTTTTTTTTTCAGTGATGCACCATTAAGCACTCCAAAGTGGCCAATATTCTGTATAAAATAAAAAAGTTCTCATTCTGCGAATGGATGTTATTTTACAGGGTTCCTGCAGGTCCTTAAAAAGTCTTAAAAGGCATTGAATTCTTCAAAATAAAACTACAGTAAGGCCTTAATTGGTATTAAAATGTCTTAAATTAGTCTTTCGTAGGTCTTAATTTTTAAAACATCATAAATAGGATTATTTTTATTA